ACAATAGGAATTTAGGGGTATTCCTTTAACATGGTAAATATTCATGTCAAATAAAAAGGTAATATTATGTTTGTGCAAAATGAAATTGTTTCCATTTAAGCCAGGAATAAGATAGGAATTTCCATAATCCTCACTATTAACCAACAGTGTTCAAGAAATGAGTCAGATGTACTAGATAAGACAAATCAGAGGTATGCAAACAGGAAAGGGGAACGCAAAGTGATTGTTATTTGTAGGTGGTATGATTGTATGCCCCTAAATTCCATGAAATTAACTGAAAAATTTATGAGAAACAAGATAACTCACTAAACTAACTGGTTATAAAATTAATATTCAAGAATAAAACTCCAGGGAATAGGAGATATCTAACAAATAAACAAAGGACATATTTATATTAGCATTTATTTTTTATTTGTTCTCTCTCTAATGGAATGTCAACTCCATGAGGAAAAGGATGTGGTTGGTTTTGTGTACTGTTTTATCCCTGGCGCCAAAAAAATGCCTAGTACATAGTAGGCACTCAAGAAATACTCATTGAAAGAATGAATCTACACTATATATCTACTCTCTTGTGCAGAGATAGATGTGCAAAGATATGTCATTTTTTTTAATAATGGAAAAAGAATGAAAGCAACCAAAATATCCACTAGTGGGTATCTTATTAAATGGTTATTAAAAATAATGAGGTAGAATGCTTATTTCTGAACTAGCAAACAAAGCTCTCCTAGATAAATTAAGTTAAAAAAAAAAAACAGGGCATGAGGCCATCATACAAGTCTCAACACATTTAAAAGGACTGAAATCATACAAAATATGTTCTCCTCCACAGAGAAATTACTAGGAATCAACAGAAAAGAATTAGGAAATCCCAAATGTTTGAAAAATAAACAACACATTTCTAAGTAACCTATGAGTCAAAGAAGAAATCACAAGGGAAAATAGAAAATATTTTGAACTGAATGAAAAAGAAAACACAGCATATCAAAATTTATGGAAATCAGCTAAAGAAGTGCTTACAGTAAAACTTATAGCTTTAAATGCTTTTATTAGAAAGAGAGGACTAGAATCATTAATATAAGTTTCCACTTCAAGAAGACAGAAAAGGCAAAGTCAATCAAACACAAAGTAAGTAGAAGAGAGGAAATCATAGAGATTAGGGTGGAAAACAGTGAAATAGAAAACAGAAAATCAATGAATCCAATTGGTTCTTAAAAAAGAAGCTTACAGAATTTTGTTAAAAAGTTTATGCTAACAAATTTGACAACTTAGATAAGTTGTAAAAATTCCTAGAATGCATAAATTACCAAAACCAACTCAAGAAGCAACAGAAAACTGGAATAGACCTAAATCAAGAAAGGAAATTTAATTAGTAACTAAAAATCTTTCTACAGATAAAATCCCAGCCCAGATGGCTTCACTGGTGAATTCTATCATACTTTCAAGGAAGAAATAATATCAACTCTACACAAGCTCTTTCAGAAAATAGAGGGAGAAGGAACACTTTCCAACACATTTTATGAGGCCAGTATTATCCTGACACAAAAGCCAGACAAAGACATCACATGAAAAGAAAACTACAGAAAATCTCCCACCAGACAGGTTAAAAAATTCTTAAAATATAAGCAAACAGAATTTATCAATATATAAAAAAGATAAATTGGACTTCATCAAAATTTAAAACTTTTCTGCTTCAAAAGGCACCATTAAGAAAACAAAAGACAAGCCATGCACCAGCAGAAAATATTTGCCAATTATATATCTTATAAAGAACTTGTACTCAGAATATATAAAGAACATTTACAACTTAATGAGAAGACAAGCAGCCTAATAAATACACACAGGGGTAAAATATTGAGTAGGCATGTCACCAAAGAAGATATATGAATGCTAATAAACATATTAAAAGATTAGAGAAATGTAAATTAAAACCACAAAAAGTATCACTATATACTCAATAGAATAGCTATAATCAAAAAGACTGACAATATCAAGTGTAAGCAACAATGAGCATACTTGTCATATAACGCAGCAGTATCACTCCTAGGTATCTATCCCAGAAAAATGAAAACATATGTGCACACAAACACTTGTATCCAAACGTTCATAGCAACATTGGTCATAAATGCCAAAAACTGAAAACAGCTCATATGTCCATCCACTGGTGAATGGGTTAAAAAAAAATGGTATATCGATATAATGGAATATTACTCAGCAATAAAAAAGAAACAGACTAGTCACACATGCACCAACATGGGTAAATCTCAACAGCATTATGCTAAGTAAAAGACTACATACTGAATGATTTCATTTATAAAAAATTTCTAGAAAGGTAAAACTATTCAGAAAGCATATTGGTGACTATCTGGGGCTGGCAGAACTTGGGATGATGGATGTTCTAAGGATTTATGGTGATTGTTACACAACTGTATCATTTTAGCAAAATTACTGAAGTATACACTTACAATTAGTGAATTTTATGGTATGTAAATTATGCTACAATGCTATGTGTTAAAAAATGAAATAACCCTAATAACCAAGATGTTTAGAGCAAGACACACGTATGTATATCATTCCATTTTTATTAAACATACTACATATATTCAGGCATGTGCTAGTTAAGACTATAAAATTTCTGAAAGTATATATATGGAAAACATGTTTGCCTCTGGGAAAAGGACTGAAAGTCAGGGACAGGAAAGAGAATTACTTTTCTTTGCATACCTTCTGACACTATTTGCTTAAAAAAATTAAACTGTGCACATTATTACTTTATAAATAAAAAAAATCCTTGTAAATAATTAAAAACAAACAACCAACTACGATCCCATTACAAGGACCCAGGCCTATGAATCTGCTCTTGAAGATCTATGTCTATTTGAATGAGGCCATAAGCAATTATGAGTAGCCCCTAATAAGATAATCAAAGTGAATTATCACAAAAACATGGTGTTAATTCCTATTAATTTCAGAGACATGAGTGCAAATTGTGGAAATTTGAGGAAACACAAGGGGTTTTTGACTAGAAGTACTTTAAGCATCACAGTATACCACATTCTGCAATTCTACACTAGCCACAAAATAAAAACAAATTCCTCACCCTCAAACACAAACAAAATGCAAACAAAACTGAATACTTGAGGATTAAATGGGGTGGGGGAGTAGGAGGAAAGAAAGGGCAAGAATAGGGTAGTCTAGCTGATAGCAGGCACACAATAAATGTTTTTAGAAAAGATGTGAATTGCAATAATACAAATAAATACATATTATATAATACGTAATATGTATTATAAAATAAATACATATAATACACAAATAAATAAAATTAATAATTTCAACATATTTTTTTACTGCTATGCCATGTCTTATAAGCCGTTACATATAAAACGTGTCCAAACTTGCTTCTGTGAGTCATACAGTGGATACCACACAGTGATTTTCAGTTATATCTTTCGATATCAAGAACCTGTTACAAACATTTGATTTTCAGTTGCACATTATAAAGATATGACTATTTAATTAAGCGTATTTGTTTTAGTCTTAAACAAGCAATAGGAGAAATTAAAATACACTGTCAATATTTAATTATCATGATTCAAGTGCTATTTTCAAGTGCCTTAAGAAGGCTAACTTTAAGACTTTTGCTATCATATTAATCTCTCTTTTTAATATAGGAACATAACATTTTGTATAGTGTTGCTCACAAATGCCTAGCGTTTGGCATCCATTTTCACACAAGGAATCAACAATATAAATACTTCCTTGAAGGGGAAACACCTGCAGAGAGGGTCAAATAAATCATAAAAGGTGCTTCTTTCAGCTTTGACTACTTTCATTTGCACTTCAAACTGACAGGGCTTCCATGCTGTTTTTAGTGCTTCGAATAGGCAATCACATATGTTTGCTACACGTGTGTTCTTCACGCATGAGTTCCTCACAGTACTGCTCCTTCTGACCCATCCCCGCTGTGGTTCCGGTGTTCATTTAGACTCAACAGACATTTAATGAGCACCTATTGTGGGCCATTCAATACTAAGAGCACTACCATCAGGTTAGGTAGTATTATCCCAATATAAGAGACGGGACGTCTGAGGCTCATGGACTTTAAGTGTCCTGAGTCCCCAAAGTGGTAGGTGGAAAACCAGGACTTAGCCTGAGCCCTTGCCTTTACACTGTTTTCAAGTATCCTTTCTATCTGTGGCCTTTCTTGCCTTTCTCTCTCTAGTTTCATTGATTGTCAAGAGCAAAGTATCAGAGAAGTGCAGCAGAGAAGGTAGATGGGAAGAAACATCCAGGGCTCAGGCTCCTACCACACTCCTCGCTGCCCCCATGTCCATACTTCACGTAGAACACCTAGCCCAGAACTTTAGCCCTGATCCTGTTCTATAACTCTCTTCCTATGTCACGGAAGGCACTATGGGTAATTATTGCTGGAGCAGTCCCTGCCGTAGTGGAAGAAGCGTCCTGAGCAACCCTATTCACCACTCTGAAAAGATTTTTCTATAGTGACATAGCTCCCAGTGTCCTTATGGGAATTACCAAGACAATACTTGGGCTCTGAAGGGGTTGAACCAGCTTCCTCCTGCTAGCCTGGAGTCCTAAGCATCGCTTAGGGCATCGCTTCCATTGGAAAAATCAGACTTCTTAGTCAAGTCAATGGGAAACCAGTTCGAGGTCTTTACAACTGACACATTAATGAACTTTTGGAATATAACCCATTCATACCTGGGGATTCAATCTTTAACCTCCAAGTTCATAGCAATAGAAATGTATAAAACTGAAAACACTATTATTATTGTGTTTAATACACAATAGGAAAAGATATATTCTCAAAATAAAAAAACACAGCTTCCTGGATTCATGTTTTTCTCTCTTACTCTTTTTCCTTTATTTTTTAAAGTATGATTTCATTCAACTCCAGAGAACTCCATTTTTACAATATTATTGTAAAGATCCTACTATTTTACCTGCATATTTTATTGTTGAGCCAGTGTTTATCTTACCTCCTCGATGGATAATCAAAGAAGTCTCGCTTCCAATGGGACAGTCCTTAAGTATATCCACTACTTCCGTATGGCTCAGATTCTGTACATTCTGCTGGTTGATCTCAACAATGAGGTCGCCTTCACACAGGCCAGGGCATCCCTGAATGTCAAGTATTTGTTTCACCCGCTGTCCTGTAGGACTATCGGCAATGGTGAAGCCAAAGCCCTGGGCACCTTTCACAATGGTTAAGGTCATAAGTTCAGCTTGGGTGGCCCCAGACGAAGCCATAGACACATTGTCGTCATGGACAGGTGGTGGATACGTGCCATCTAGCTGACCATCAGCTGGCATTGAGTGCAAAGAATGAGGCGGCCGATCTGTTATATCTGGAACCGACTGTGAGGTCCGAGAAATGTATTCCAAATATGTTTCATAGTTATGTCTTCCATTGACCATCACTGGAGGTGGCCTCTCCATTATTGCAAGGGGTGGCACCATGCTGTTAGCAGGATCTTCAGGATCAAAGGGCAAAGGGTAGCCACGACACAATACCAGGTTGACACTCTGACCAATAGGAACAGACTGGAAAAGTTTGACTACATCTGCATGAGTGTGTCCAAGGACACACACTTCGTTAATATAGACAATGACATCACCTGCAGGAGAAAAAGAGAGAGATCGACAACATGAGGTAAGTTTGGTTAATGTTGACAGAGAGAAATGGAATTATTTATGAGACTAGTGAGAGAGGTGTGCTGTTTCTCAGTAAGCAGTGAGAAAATCAGAGTAATATTTAAATTCACTCTAGGTGACTCAAGGTTACAATGGGTCTGCCAACAAATATAATGATCCAATGCTGAAAAAAATGCTATTTGGTTATTCCTGAAGTTCAGAAACAACTTCATACTCAGAAAGAAAGGCTCAGAAAGCAAAGGGTAGCAGAATTTGTACCTTGAAGAAGCACATGTTCTACATTTCTTTTTCATCTTCATTTCCATCTTCAGTGCAAAACAGTTAATAGAATTTTCAAACTATTGAGAAGCGGTGTTGTAAGTTTTGGATGAAAAAGCTGTGGTCTATGATTTTTTTTGTTGTTGTTATCACTTGTCTGAGTCAGCTGCCTTTTTTATTTTTTATGAAAGAGGAAAATATTTTGGCCACTTTTTTCTCTCTATCTATAGCAAGGTGTAATTGCAAAGGTTCCATGTATACACGAGTAAAGGGCAAGAGCATAGGATTTGGGATCAGGGATCAGGGTCCATATCTTGGCTCTACCTCTTAGCAGGTATGTGATCCTGGGCAATGACTGACCTCCCCTGAACCATAGTTCCTCATTTATAGAGCTGTTGTGAGAATGAAATGAGATAATGCAGGAAAAGTGCTTGGGATAGTTCCCGACACACGGTGAGGGCTCAACAAATGTTGCTAATATTATTGTCGCTAAAATAGGATGGAGGGGTTTTGGGACCCTGACTTTCAATCAGGAAGCTGCCATAGACTCATCCTCTGACCTTAAATAAATTGATATTTCTGTAGATCTTTTCAAAAAAGGCATTTGTCCTCTCTCCCCAATGAATTATCATAGAATTACAGAAGTCCACTGATTAGAAGTTAACTTGATGATATTAAAAATGCCCTGAATGCAAATTATTCATCATAAAATATATTCAGAAAAACAATATTTGCTCCTTAAAATGCAGGAAAAGATGTTCGTTTGAGACAATTATTTTAAAAAATTTCAATTATGTATGAATAACAATTTTATTTTTGGAGAACTGTTCTATCATGGATTGATATTTTTAGCCTCAAAACCATAATATTTGAGAATTGAACTTACAAATTGAGATTGTGCCTGACTATTCTGAGGAGTGTATAAGGGATGAAAAGATATGTTTTCACAGATTGTCAAACGAGTAACTCAACAGACATCAATTTATCAGGATAATTCTGAAATTGGTAGTGTCAATGGCTAGGGATTTCATTCTGAGACATCCTTGCCCATCAAGATTGCAAACATCAAAAATGAAAAACAGAATTGAACTTTCAAAGTTAAATACTTTTCTGGCTTTTCTCAGGATTCTGATAAAATGTTTTCTCCACTAAATGCCCTTAAAAATAAATAATTCCATGAATAAACTGCTCAACATGAATAAAATGCCCTCAACCACATAGACTCGGTTCATACTCACTCTTCCCAAAAACTAGAGAACTACTTGAAACTGTTAAAGATATAAAGAGAGAAAAGCCAAGCAAACATTTCCAGAGATTCAGGTTACGTTTGATTCTAGAAAATGTCAAAGACCCTGTGACTGGTCAGATGGAACTTCACTCTTCAATTCTGTCCAACAGAGTGGGTGCTGGTGTCATGGCTGCGACAGTGGACCAGGACTCAGGACTGAATTGGGACGGGCATCCTCTCCCCGCTACTATGATTCCTCATTAGGCTGTGGCAGCTGGGGATGCTTTGGCATCATTTTCAGCTGGTTCTGGTCATCCCAGAATCCCAGAGAAGTCTCTGATCCAGACAAACTTTTTTTATTCTCCTGCCTCTTCTATTTTTAAAGTTATCATATATTTTACACATTAAAAAATTGAAAGAATAATAAATACTTGTGTACCACCTTCCAGCTTAATGATTAGAATACTGCTCGTATTAATTGAAGCCCCCTGGGTAGCACCCCTCTCCCACTTGCATTCCCTTACTGCCCTTTCCACAGGTAACCTGTGTCCTGCATTTGAGGTTTGTTCTTCACATATAATTTATATTTTTATGAAATATCCAAGTACCCATAAATAATATCCCTAAATAATATTTAATCCCTAAATAAGTACATCCCTAAAAAACATGTTTTTGCATATTTTAAACCTTTTGTAAATGGTATACCTGTTAATCTTCTGTAATTTCCCTCAAAATGCATTTGCGATATTTATTTTGATACCTGTACCTGTAGTTCATTAATTTTCATTGCAATATAGTATCTATTGGATGACTACATCACTAATTATTAATATTTATCCATTCTTCTGTTAATGGACACTGGGGTTCTTGTGAATCTTTGGCTGTTAAAGGTAAATCTGCTATGAACCTCTTTCCATGGCCCTTGGGCACATATGGGAGAGTTTTCTGAGGTATGTACCTTGGCATAGAATTGCTGGGCACAGCCATGTGCACCTTCAACTTGGTTAGATAATGGCAAATGACTGACAAAATAGGTCAAACTAGTTTACACTCCCATCAGTAGTTTATCAGAATTTTCATTGCTCCCCATCTGACACAATACTTGGCATTCTCAGACTTTTAATTTTCGCTAATCTAACGGGTGTGATCATGGTTTCAATTTGCATTTCCCAGATTGCTAGTGAGGATGAGCATCTTTTCATATGTTTATTGGCCATTTGGGTTTCCTCTTCAGTACATCTCATTTCCCCATTTTTCCTATTTGGTTAGGTTTTTTTTTTTTTTTTTTTTTTTTTACCACACTGACTATTTTTTTGCCCACCTCCATTCTTGATCCAGTGTTTTCTGTAGGTTTGGGAGGCTGCGTGGTATGCAGACATTATATGGGATAAGGAGTCAAAGACTTGGGTCTGATTGCCAGCTCCATCCCTTACTAGCTGTGTGACTTTCAAAACTCACTTAAATCCTGTGTGACTCAGATTCTTCAGAAGTAATGAGGAACAATAATAACAGTAACTTACTGTTCCATGGGAAATAACAAATGAGATCACACAGGTGAAAGGGTTTGTAAGCTGTAAATTATTATGCAAAAAATGATTGCTATTTCAGTAATTATTATCTGTCCTCAGTAATATCCTTCTATGAAACCAGGACAGTTCTGCTAAGATATTCCCACCACAATCATAATCAAGGATGAGTATGGGTTTCTGAGTGGGTAAAAGGCAGGAAGGTAACAAATGTCACCGTCCTCTAAGGCTATCCCTAACTTTAACCACTGTTAACAAACCCCCAGCCCCCAAACATGCTTTATTCTTCCCTCTGCTCTCCCAGAAATTCACAGGAAAAAAGAACTAAGGCTAACGTTCAAAGATCTCAAGGTTCCCTGCCAGGTCTGAAGAGTAGTTATTTGAATTATAGTGATTAATGTTATCTATTTTTGAGTTTTAATGTGATCTTGCTATTAGAAACAAAATGAGAACTATTTGTGGTTCTTAGTAAGACTGCCTTTTAAAATTTATGGATATTTTCCACTCAGAGCAGTTTTTCAAGGCATCAAGCAAGCAAGCGATAAAGAATTCTGCAATGATATCTTATGGAGCTACACAGAAGATTTCTGAATGCAAAAGATGAGGAGTCAGTTATCACAGGATAAAACTATCTAACAACTTGACAGTACTCAATTGCCCACTTTAAAAAATATATAGATGCCTAGATATTGTGTCATGCCAAAACTGTTGTAGATGGTGATGTAAGCAAATATTTGCTTCTTCAGATAGAACTGATTGGGGAGGTTATTTATAGACTGTTCTGTACGAATGTCATTTACATGTTGTGAAATGAAAATATGAGCCACCTGGTATGTGCTATCCGACAGTGCCACGCCAAGTCCTGGGATAGACTGGGCTTGTGAGCACAGAAAGGACATCATTAGGAAAATTGGCTCTAGCTCTAATCCCGTTGGCCTACTTAAGAGGGAGAATTGGAAGAGAGTCACTTGATCTCTCCATCTCTCAATCTATTCTTTTATAAAATGGGAATTAAAATATCTCCTTCATTTCCTCTTTCACAGGGCTACTGTGAGAATGAGATAAGCGCGTGAAAACCCTTTTAATTTTACCAAAGAAAGATTCTCCATAAAAATAAGATGATGCATTTCTTTTAAAAGCCAAGCACATATTTTCATTACCATATTACCTGCAAGGTTGCACTGTTTCCTATATGGCCATTCACTTTAGGCCATATTGAGGCCAGATGGTTTTAGGGCTACTGACCACAGGCTTACTGGTCAAACTTAGTGTGACTGAGCTTGGCATTCCCATAGGGCTGGTCTCATAATGAGCTGATTCCCAATTGTGGGATTTCAAGGTGCAAGTGAAGGAGAGTGAGGCTGATGAAGCAGGAGGTTTAACATTGCTGGCCTGAAGGAAAAAAAATCTAAGATCACTGGTTTCTTTCTTAGTTACGGAAATCACAATACAGTCTTGGATACCTTTTGGGTACTTCATCATTTTGGAGAAAATAGGGTACTCTTTGTAAAGCATTGCCGCAGTGGAGTTATTCTTATACCTCTTTCCTCTGCTCCCACATTCTTTGAGTCACTGCGGCCTGTGGAATCCTCCTTTTCCACCTCTTTTACTTACCACTTGCTGTCTACCTTCCTTAACCACCACCTTGGACCAGACAAGAATAATTTACTTCACACTCCATTGTCATCCTATAGTCTTCTCTATTAAGTTCCAACTACTCAATCTTTAGACCTACTGCTTAACACTCTTTTTTTGATTGATTCAAACCAATCTTTTTTTTTTTTTTTGTGAGGAAGATCAGTCCTGAGCTAACATCCATGCTAATCCGCCTCTTTTTGCTGAGGAAGACCGGCTCTGAGCTAACATCTATTGCCAATTCTCCTCCTTTTTCCCCCCAAAGCCCCAGTAGATAGTTGTATGTCATAGTTGCACATCCTTCCAGTTGCTGTAC